ACAATTTCTAAATTTGGTAATAGATTTCCGCGTTACCTTCTGGTTATAGAAATAAAATTACCAATTTAGGTAATAAACAGCTTAGCCAGCTAAGGATTTTTAAACGGCTAACATCATTAAAATTCAGTTGGTGAGATAAAAATTTAGAGAAGCAGAAAATTTGAGAAAATGTTTAATTTATAACATACCAAACAAAATCTGAACCATTTTATATCTTTTTCCTTGTCGGCCATATTGCTGACAAGGATGTATATAATTGTGTGATAATTTTAACCTATAGGACAGAGGACTGATTGGGCAAAAACCCAATCCAGTCCCCTATCCAAAATCATTAAATTGGTTAGTATCAGAGAAACAGAGAATTTACGAAAATGATTATACAAAATGAACACTATTTTACAACTTCCCTCTTAACATCAGAACCCAAATGCAATTTCAGGGCCACCAACCCTGCTCTGAATTGTGACCTCCTGTGCTTGAGCAAGTTGCAGATTCTCGTTGCTTTGATGGATCTGGATATTTACATGGCACTAATATTCATCTGCAGAGTTGCGACTTGGTCACAGTGCCATCCTTGCCCTGGAGGCAGAATCGTTGCAGGAAATTTTTTGGCTAGCATGTCAGCAGCCATCTCTGATCTGGGAAGATTAGTGAAAGTGTCATTGACGATTGATGCAGTCTTGGTAAATTCCAGGGCATCTTTCCCCCTCCCTGGAATTCTGTTGCATCATTGTATCATCAGGCGCGAGTCAGATTAGCCTTGTGTACACGAGGAACGTGTGAGAATGATTGTAAAGTGTTCAAGGCAGCGTGCGTGCTTCAATGCCTGTAAATTTTTCGATAATCAAACGTCACATATCAAATTGTTTCATATTCAACAGTCAATGCTGCCTTGACTTGTGATTATAATAATATAATATTAGTATTATTGATTACGATTACGCAAAACAAAATATTATCAATGAAAATCTTGTAATTACCCAGCAATGATCTGCTCCGCATTTTGATTTCCAATTAAAATGTTTATAAACCAAAATAAAAATATCAATCAATACAAGTAAAAAAAGGTACCTCTGGTTAGTTATTAACAC